CGGCTAATTTTTTTGTATTTTTAGTAGAAATGGGGTTTCACCGTGTTAGCCAGGATGGTCTCGATCTCCTGACCTCGGGATCCGCCCACCTCAGCCTCCCAAAGTGCTGGGATTACAGGCAGGAGCCACTGTTCCCGGCCTGCTTCCTACATTCTTAAATGGTATCTTGGAATCTTTTACTACTGAGTCTAGATCATTCTTTAAAATACCAGTGCTTGGGCCGGTAAAAGATTACAAATTTTGTTGATACTGTGTCCCAGAGTAAGAGGGAAAAGGCTCACACGCTCAAAGTAAGCTGTGCAGATACTGTCTCTTTACACACAGAAGTAAAATGCTTGCATCTTGGTACCCAGACTTTGTGATAGGTTTTTTCCCTTGTCATGAGCCTTTTTTGCCACGAAGGAGCCAATATGGGAAAGTGGTTAAGAACATTAGTTCTCAAGTCAAATTGCTGGGGTCTAAATCCCGACTCTCCATCATTAGTTGTGTGACATATGCAAAGGACTTATCACTGAGAATGGCACGAGTAGGCCAGCAGGCACTCAGTGAGGATAAGCCACACACACACATATACATATGTGCTTTTTTATTCTACCTGGCTGCATTCTCAAGAGCTGGAGGTTTGCAGTTTTAAAACCTCTAAATACTTTTAGGGTTCAAACTGCCCTTTTCTGCAATTTCCTGTATCACTTTTCCAGTTCCCAAAGCTCAGTCCTCTGTGATCCTCCACCTACCAAATGCCTCCATGGTAGCCACACAGAAATCTGGAGATGAAATATTTTCTTGCCCTTTTAAAACCCACTGCCATGGTCTGAAAGTTTATGGTCCCCTCAAAATTCATATGTTAAAATCCTAATTCCCAGGGAGATGATATTAGAAGGTGAGGCCTTTGGGAGGTGAGTACTTGATGAGGGAAGAGTCATCATAATTGGGATTCGTGCCCTTATAAAAGAGGCTCCAGAGAGCTGCCTTGTCTCTTCTGCCATGTGAGGACACAGTGAGAAGGAAGCCATCTATAAATGAGGAAGCAGGCCCTCACCAGACACTGAATCTGCTGGTGTTTTGAAGTTGGAATTCCCAGCATTCAGAACTGTGAGAAACAAATTCACTGTTTATAAGCCACCCAGTTGATGACCTTTCATTACAGTAGCTCAGACTTACTAAGACATCCATTCTTAAAGCCATAACAATTAATAAGATGAGTATATCTCTTAGGTAAGCCTACTCTTGGAGCTGCCTCTACCAGAAAATAAACATATACAAACTCAATAGGCAGAATATTAATAAAAAAAAATACTAATCTGAACTCTCTCCCATGGTATAAGGCCCAAAACCCAGGAAGAGTACCAATACCCCAAACTAATTGTTTGCAACAACCTGCGTGTCAGAACTTGCCTAAATGAATGAAAACCACTCAGAGGAAATGGTATCAATGTCAAGGAAGTATCTCATTCCCTAGAATCCAAAGCTTTCATTAGAATAGACCCATAAACTCTCTGGTTTTCCAGTTCTTTAACAAAACGCTTCCTAGAGAAAACAACCTTCATGGAAGATTACTCCACAGTCCACAGTCCCCTGCACCTCTGAAGTCTATCAATGGGATCAAGACTGAGGACCAAGAGGCCATGCAAAGGATTATATCATTTCTACCCATTGTATAATGTCATAGCTTCAGATTTCATCCCAAGGTGTATAAGAAATAGGCCATGTTGAATCTGTTAGTCTGTTATGAACAAATGCTATTGATGTTTCTATCATGCAGTGCCTCTTACAATAATGATTATGATAATAATTTAAAAAATAATCCCATGGGGGAAAATCAACTGTATACTCTCATGCTAAAAATGGCTTTTTCTGAGAAATTGGTAAGAACTTCCTTCGAAATGGCGAGACTTAGATACAGGACTTTGTCTCCTTTTGGCTCCGATTGTCAAGAAACTCAAGTCATCTTTGAAGCAAATCTAGCAACTATGAGAGCTTTTACAGCCCTACTTGCTTACCTCCATTTCTTACTTTTTTTTCTATTTTCCCTTGTTTCTGATTTTTCTACTCATAATTATTTTACAACAGGCATGCTTCTTGTAAGCCTCTCCAGATGTTCTTCATAACAAAAAGGGATAGAAATAAACAAATCAACAAATTATAAAATGGCTCTAGTGGGACTGATTTGAGCAGTGAGTTTTGGGGATGAAAGGCACTAAGTCCAGAGGTTCTTAACCTTGGGTGTGTGGATGCGCTTCCAAGAAACCTTGAACCTCTTGAAAGAGAATGCAAAATCACGGGTGCTTTTCCCCGGGTCTCCAGCTTGCACAAGCACCTCTTAAGGTTAAGAAACACTGCCCTAGGTCTCAACAGCAGAGGAAGACCAAGAATCTTGGCCGTCTGAGTGGAGGAAGGATAGAGAGCCAGTGGGGTATAACAAAAGGCTATGTCAGCCCTGGGCTTGTACCAACCCAGTGTTTTGGTGTGTGAGCAGTCTTTCTTATCCGAGTTGGACCATGACATTACTCATTTGGTTGCGTATTAACCTACCAGATGGTCTGTTGTAGTTAACAAGGGCCGGCTGCTGTTGTTGCTGCGTCTGTGGTTGCGGTGGCTGCTGCTGCGGCTGCTGTTGCTGCTGCTGCTGCTGCGGCTGCTGTTGCTGCTGCTGTTGTTGCTGCATGCCAGGCAACGTCCTTTTCCCCTGGACTGCAAGCTGCAGCGTTTCAGGGAGGGGCTGGCCCCGGGCCAGCATTTTATAAGCTAAAATCTGAGCTCGAAGCTGATGCAGCTGGACGGGACTGAAAGGTGAGGGACCTCTGTTGGGCTGGCTCATGGCCTGCGGATCACCTGGGATGAGGGCCCCTGGCTGGCTTGGTGGCATCTGAGGTGGAGTTGGGCCTCCTCCAGACATAGGGCTGGAGACGTGCTCTGGGGCTCCTAATGGAGATGGGTGCGGTGACATATAACCTAAAAGAAAGCACAAAAGAAAATCACAGGCTGCCCCTGACAACCCTGAAAGAGAGATATCCCTGAATACTCTAATAATTGTCTGCAGCAACTGTCTGATAGAAATTTAAATGACATATCATTTATTAATTATATGTAGTTTAAGATTTTAATATAGTAATATGTGCTTTATATATATGTAAAATTTAAAATTTTCTGGTAGCCACTTTAAAAATGTTAAAAAAAAAAAAAAGCAGATGAAGTTAATTTAAATGTATTTTATTTAAACCAACATATCCAAAACATCATTTTAAAACATAAAAATTGTTAGTGAGATATTCTACGTTCTTTTTTTTCATACTAAGACTTTGAAATCTGCTAAATATTTTACACTTAAAGCACATCTCAATTTGAACTAACCACACTTCAAGTGATCAACAGCCACATCAATAGTCCTAGAAGGTAAACTGTTAGTGGTTGTTGTTCACCTAAAGGAGAGGCACCAAGGGACAGTACTGAATGGTAAAAGTAGCTCCAACTGCGAGAACAAAACCTGATGGCACCTGATATATCTCAATGGGGAATACAGAATGTCTCAGGTGGAGAGCGAACACTTGGTTTATTGTTATGCATGTTATGAATAACTTGCAATTATTGAGTGCCTACATGTTGTGGGTACTATGCAAGGAGTTGACTTGCACTCAACTATCACAGTTGGGTTCTCCCTAGTAGCAGAGCCTTATTTAAGGATTGAGTACTGGCAATTTACTGGGAAGGTGCGTGGACACTAATAGGGGTATGAAAAGGTAATATAAGGAAGGGAAGGCAGCCAATAAGGGGGGGTATTATCAAACCAGCTGCTGCAGTGGGTATCTGAAGATTAATTCAGTGCAGAAACTTTAGAATATATGGTAAATAACTTGCCTCCAAATTATTCCAGGAAAGGGGTAAAGAGGCTGAGGTATTTACACTCCTGCAATCAGCAGTCACTGGTTAAGTCACTGGTTATGACTAATGCTCTAAAGATTATTGTTCTCCAGGGACTTTGCCATATGTGGGAAAGGTAGATGGAAGTGAACCAAGACAGTGATTCTGGGCACAGGAAATCAGGCTGGTGGGGGTGTAGAAATGGTAATGGGAATCAAGAAGATATGGGTAGAACATACATTATTTCTTCAACCCTTACAACAACCCTAAAAGATATATACTGTTACCACATTTTTGAAAATGAGGAAAATGAGGCTCAGAGAGTAAACCAGTTACCCAAAGTCACACAATTAACTCTTGGCAGCTTCAAGATTTAAACCAAGGTATGCCCTTTCCATGATCTCATATAAATTTGGTTATATGAAAATAAGTCAGGGACTTGAAAGTTTCAAAAACCTTCTAGAACCACTTGTGATATAACATAAAAATGAGAGTAAACTGTTTGGTTTCTAAGAGATCTAAATGGGAAATTTAAGAACACTTTTCTGGGGAAGAAAAATCAAAATGCACAAAAAAACCTCAAGGGACTTATTTCAGGAGATGATCTGCATAGCTTAGCCATAGAATTCCTAGAAAAGCATGACTGAACATTGCTGGAGGGAGATCCAAGATGAAGGAGAGAACAAAGTGGCCTAAAGCAATCCAAAAGGTGTCCTTGAGCTGAAACAAAGTGCCAATTAATCAAGTCAAAGGTGTCCCAGAACACAGCACTACATACATAGATGGATGAAAAGTCTCTGCCCTTTAATAAATGTAATCGTGTCACAGTTCTCACAAAGGTCATCACATAAGTGTTTATTAAATTCCTGCTGCATGCTCAAACCTAAGAGAAGTCTGAACTGAAAGAGCTCTGTGCATCTGCAGAATCACAGAGGCCCGAGAATATATGACTGCCCCCAACTGGGGATTCACCCTCATAATTCACAAGCCCAAAGAAAATAAAAGATTCAGTTACTTTTATCTCCAACTGTCATTTGGAGAGGGAGGCAAATTTAGCGTGATCCCCTAAACCAAGAATGGGTTTTACTCCACCATTTGATGAGAAGTAGAACTCTATTCAGGGAAATCCTGCCCTAAAGGTAAATAGAAGAATTGCTAAATTTCATTCCACAAATCCCTACTCCGTGAGGAAGCACACACACCATGCAGTTTAGGGTTTGAGTTGGTTATATAAAATAGCCAAGAAAATTCCCTTGAAAGCCTGCAAGACTAGCAGAAATTTAAATCCCAACATGTTGTTATTACAACAATAAACACTTAGAGAATATCAATAACAGACACTTAACTTCAGCATTAACATGCTTCTTTAAGAAGGCTTACATTAGCCCCTTAATTGTAATGCTAGTACAAACTGGTAGTCTATTCATTATGACGTCTTTCTGGCCAGCCCTGAGTTTACCACAGGAGGAAAATCTTCCCACCAAACCTGCTACCATTTTCACAGTAGAAGAGACATGACCAGGGCTTAAAATTAGTCATACATTTCCTGATTTCCGGTCTTTCCTATTTCCTAGGGTCATCAATTAGAATCTCACTCATGGCAAATCATAAGATGCCTAATACAATGAACCAAAATATTAGGCAATCTAGTCTAAATTCATGTGTAACACTATGTCTTACATCACTCTTTGAAACTATGAACAAGGCAACATTATGAAGGTGAGACAGTTACATTAAGCATAACAATTTAAACTCTGAAAAAAAGAACCTGTTCACCGGCAAATCAATACCAAAAAAAAAACTTACCTCAAATTTGATCCAAAAAATTGAGAGTGAAATAAAAATCATTTTTGAGTTAGTCAGTACAACAAAATTTCACCTCAAATTTGATCAGAAGAAAACGGAAGTGAGAATTATTTCCCAGAATTTGTAGGGGATGTGAATAGAATCATTCTGTCACAGTATGTTATTAAAAATAGAGATTTTTATTTCTACAGGAATAGCATCCCATAAAACTTGAAGAAAAACAGAATCTAAGTGATACAACAACATCACATATTTTGGTAATTATCTTTAGTTGAGAAAACAGAGTGAAGAAATTGCCCGAGAGTGAATATACATTTGTCGGTAGGATGACAGTGTTGATGCAGATTCTGCTCTTTTTGGAATCCTGTATGATTTGCTCGTTCGAAAGAAGTCAAAAGTGGCAGTTTTCTTTCCCTAGTTTTCAACGGCTATTATCTCCCGAGTTTCACCTTGCCTCAGAGAGATGCAATAACCTTTCTCCTATTAATGATCTGGAACTTCTAAGTGCCAATATTATATGAATTTTCTCTACACACACACACACACACACATACACACACACACACAACTTAAATATATACCTGCCTTTGAAGGGTTTCTATCCAATGGACTAAAAATAAACAATGTTATCGTTGGGACCATAAGGTACACAATTCGGTATTTATTGAAGGAAATGGCTTTGCTTCTTGACCAACACCCTAAAATAACCTAATAGGTTGCTAGGTAGTTAAAGCTCGCAGCCTTCCAATCAATACCACATCTCTCTGTTCCTGTGTTTTTATATTAATAAATGGCTTTTCACAATGAGTTTTTTAAAGACACGTGCTATTACCAAGTCTAAATTCTTTTTAGATCATTATATAAAATAGGACTGTATTATACTAATACTGCTTTATTCAAAAATACACCCTAAAATAACTCATTCCTCAGCCTACAATGCACTTTACTATTTTAGAGAATATTACATGTTAATTCTGATTCCCTTTAATGCAGACCTTTGCATTTAAAGTTATTATACTTCATTGAAATTACATAAAAGTTGAGATCATTTTAAACTGTTGACTCTTTAATACACAAACTTCCACACCTAATTGAACAAAATTTACTAATATCTATATAGCCAAGTGCTAGATATCATGTCAAGTGTTGTGGATTCCAAGATAAATAAGACATCATTCTTATGTTGAAGAGAGGAGCCAAGTGATCACAGAAATAAAAGTAAAAATGCTCTCAATTACGATTTGCGCATTTGAAGTGGTTTTAGTTTTCAGATTTTCCTAGGACTCCACTATTAGAGTTACTGCAATGACTGGAGCAGAAAAAGTAAGCACCTGGCTTTAAGAATCACTAAATATCACTCATCTATACCTCCCAGGTATTAAAAATAAAGGTTTAAGTCCAGGCATGGTGGCTCATGCTTGTAATCCCAGCACTTTGGGAGGCTGAGGAGGGTGGATCACCTGAGGTCAGGAGTTCAAGACCAGCCTGGGCAACATGGTGAAACCCTGTCTCTATTAAAAATACAAAAATTAGCTGGGTGTGGTGGCACACGCCTGTAGTCCCAGCTACTCAGGAGGCTGAGGCAGAAGAATCACTTGAACCTGGGAGGCAGAGGTTGCAGTGAGCTGAGATCACGCCACTGCACTGCAACCTGGGCAACAGAGGGAGATTGTGCCTCAAAAA